CCCCCCGCCGTCCTGCCTCACTCCCCGCATCACAACACACTCAGCGCATTGGCACATCATAATGTACTCAGGTAGCATGGTACAAAGTCGATGTATTACTTAAGTCGTATTTACAATCGACAAAAACTTCAGTCACAAAAAAGAGGTTAATGACCGGAGAAGTTTAATAAGATGGTAAAAAACTTTAACCTCGAGTACACTCAAACTAAAAATGTTTTATATTTTTTATATGAAATCAAAATGTTATACATTTTTTTTAAATATGTAAACAAAAGAGTCCTAATAGGCTGTCTGTAACTATCAAAAGAGGTGAGTTTTTAAAATATAAATTAAAATGGAAACACTTTCATAAAAGTTGGCGTTTAAAGGCAGCGTAATTTCATTGAATGAACTCTTATAAATTAAGAAGCTAAGTTAGTTAGTAAAGCTCAATTGCTACTTGATTAAGAATTTATTCAACACGAATAGAACTTATTTAAATGCTCCTCAATGAACTATGTTTTTAATTTGCTTGCAGACTTAAAAATAAAGCAAAAATGGAATCGGATGAAAATTGTCGAGGAAGAAAAAAAGAAAATGGTTAGTAATTAACCGTATACTATCGTATAATTAAATTGCGTACAATATTTTCCATAAAGGTGGATTTCCACTGACATTCTCTTTGAAAAACATAAGCAATAACCTTTTGATCCAAGAGTCATAACAGTCAAATTTCGTGGTAAACAACAAACATAAGGGCACAGTTCCACTAATCGTTTATTGAACAATGTGGGAGTCTTCGTATGGGCAAACGACTAATGAAAATGATAGGTTGATGCAATCATCATGTAGATTCAGTTGACGAGTATTATGCAACCTAAAATATGAAATATCGCCGCGGGAGCTTTCGATTAATGAAGATTTCACACGCGGCCGCTATAACATGCGTGAACAATAAATTTCTCGCATACTATATGCTATATAAAAACCGTGATATCGACCAATGTTTTTTTTATATAATATAAGATGGCAAACAAGCAAGCGGCCACCTGAATCCACCGAAATGGAAAGCGACCACTGCCCATAGACATCCGCAATTGCAGATGCGTTGCCTACCCTTAATTGACAGAGGACGCACATAAAGAGGACATTTCCCTTTCCTATGCGTCTCCTCCACCGTCAAATCCACTTTTTCTTCACATACTTTCCTCTGACGAAATCGGTGGAAAGAGAAAGGGACTAAAAATAGGCCTCCGGCACCACACTCATCAGACGAAACGCGGAATTGCTTCCACTTTTCGCCTGTCTTCTGTGTGGTCGTGGTATTACACTGGGCGAGCCGGCCCATTCGTGCGAAGATGTTAAAGCGGGCTCTACCACTGTTTCAGCAGCCTTATGAATATTCAAAATCTCGCACTCAACATTGATACATGCCATATGAAAAGTATTATTGTGAAACTTTAAAATTAGCGCATTCAACCTACGTATTGCTAAATATACTTTTACGTTCGCTCTATCGTGAATCGTGTTTAATTTGTTTGTGGTATTAAAAAATTGTTTTGCTCACAGAGAGCTCGGAACAGGCACCGCCGCGGGCTACTGTTGAAAAGCCGTTTTTATTATCCGATGGCAGGTAAGGCTTTTAGTTTAATTTATAATCAAATTGCATTTCATTTTTTTGTCTAAAGCTAATGTAACTCCGTCATACTTATTTTGACGTGTAATAATGGTTTTTAAAATTTCTTAACTGATGTATGACGATGTTATATATAGTAATTTAAACAAAAAAACGTAGAGATCATAAAATAAATAAAACGAAAAACTCCAGACAAAATTCCCTCGACAGTGAAACCAAACAGCAAGGAAATTAACGAGAAAATAATGTTGACAGACGAGCATTATAATATAACTTGTAATTACCGTACTTAGTTAGACCAACTTTTCCAGAGTGGAGCTCGAGGGATGGCTAGATAAAGCAACTTATTCTCACGGTGAATCCATAAACGTAAATATCATCGTCTCCAACCATTCGTCGAAAACTGTAAGACGGATCAAGGTAAGTACAGTATATTATTAACAATGATTTTTGTTCGAACCAGAGACATTTATCCGTGCTACGCCAGCATTTTTGCTCTGTAACTGACTTATTGTAATCTACGGTGACGCTTCCGTTGACCTTTCTTTTTAAACCCAACCTCGGAACGACGCGGAAGCAAATGTGTCAAAGTTACAATTGTGCCATATTTTTTCTATACCAAAATAACATTTTTTAGGTTCTTGTTATCCAACATGTGGACGTGTGCATGTTTTCGAATGGGAAATTCAAAAATGTCGTAGCCCTAGTCAAAGGGCCAGACACACCGGTCGCGCCTGGGGAAACTTTCACTGACAGTTTTAATCTAACACCACATAGAGGTAAGGATGTTTTTTTATTGTTTTTTAAGAATATGCCGTCGCCAACATCGACTTTAAACGATCGACAATTTTTTAAATGTCCGCCATTTCAGGTGTAACTAAAAACTGGATTGCTCTCGAAGACTCATATTCTAAATCTGGTGCAAGCCTCGCTTCTACAGTTCTATGCAACTCAAACTCACCTGAAGATCGTAACGTGTTTGCCATTTACGTCTCTTACTATGTCAAAGTAAAATTGACTCTAAGCGCCATGGGTGGAGATCTATCACTTAAGCTTCCCTTCACATTGACTCACTCTTGTATTAACGAGGCACCAACAGACAGCGTTATAGAGGAGGCTACTCACAAAATGATATTAGAAGGAAAAGAAAATAGTGATGAAGAAGAGAGAGAAACAGAAAACGATAAGCAGAATAACAACGGAAATGAAGATGTTAAGCAGGAAACAGCATTCGGTGATGATGGAGAAATAAAATCACCAGAAGATCATAAATGCATAGCCGATGTTCTTGTCAATATTGAAAATAAAATAACCGATAGACCAAAGAAATTCGAAGGGCAAAACGTTGTCCGGAATGTGAAACCGAATGAGGACGAAATGGATTTAATCGTAAAGTATCCTTGTTCGGATACGTGATCCGAAGATTATGTCGATAATGTAAAACAAGATATCAAGACTGATCAGTCGAACGTCAAAGCACCAGATATAATAAGGGAATTTAAAAACGAGGACCAAGTGCATAAATCTGGGTTTGCTGAGAATTTGAAAAGAGCCGTTTGTTGTATCGACCGTCGACGACAGTCATAATATTATCATGTATTAGGCTTTGTTCTGGATACTTGTTAAACTTTAATCGCTAAGTTAATCGGTATTTATATTCTAACGATAAAAAGAATTCATAAAACTTAAATAACGTTAAACGTTAAACAATCAATACGTGTCTCTACTACATTAACGTATTAATAACCTACAAATGTTTTCGAAGTATACTTTTTGATGGAAGTCTATTGTCTTTTCTTAAAGCCTTGATATTTTTCTACTAAATTAACAGCGTCAAATATTGGTGTTGGCGAGTTTCATATCTAGTCAATAAGTTTCTATAGACATGTTAAGAAATATTTTAAGTATTTTATCGTATCAAGACTTGCTGGTCGTCGTATTCGCGGTGACGTAATATAAAGCCTGAATGGTTACGCTTACTAAATTAAAAAAAATGTTAGTTATCTTTTAATATCTCATTGATTATTGTATTAATATTATATTAGAATGCAAATTAAATATATCGTAATTAAATGTAAATTCATATATTCTAAAAGCTATTTGTTGGCATCTAGTCAACTCTAGTTGTAATTAAAACTAATTTTTAATATTAAGTCGAGTATTATGCTTTGATTAAATGTCACATAGATGTAATATGCACTAAAATACTGTAAAATAATCAATTATATGCACAAAATTAATTAAAGAGTAACTGTATCTGTGCGAGTGATAAATTATTTAAACTTGTTGAGTGACATTTGATAAAAAATAGAATTGTGCATTAAAAAAAATATGACTAAATTAAGAAAAAAGATAGATTGTTTTATTTTCAAGTTACCAGTTATTTAAGTATCAAATTGCTTCCAACGTGTATCGAATTCGATTCCATCTGGCATATGTTAAAGTCAAAAGTAAAAGTGCTGTGAACGTTTTTACGAACTACAGTTTGGACAGTTTTAAAAGCCCATAATTAAATAAATAACAATTAATATTGTCAATTATCCTTTTTAGAAATCTTTTTATTACCAACGAGAAGGTTTATTTTCATTTTGTTTCACTTTTTTATAACATTTTTCAATTTGTGTTTGTCGGTGGCCAGTGTTAACATCAATATAGACTGGCCACATTTGTTGATGGCAATTTAAAACTTAAAAGAAGATAAATAAAATCAAATACTATTTAAGATATAGTCTGCATTCAACTTTTATTTTAAATAAAGAACTAGTTCAATTAGCGCGTTTCTTTAAATTAATAATAGAAGTCAATAAAATCCAAGTTTTTGGTTTTGTTGCACAATGCTTGTGTTAGTGCCTATTTTCACTAAGCAATTAACCGCGCAAGACTTGCGCCTTAGCCTTAGTGGAAATTAAATGTAATTGTAATTAGATATTCAGTTTTTCCGTCTATAATAATCGTATTTATAATCGATTTCAATCTATGTTATTCTTTGTATATAAATGTAAATAAATATTAAAGTGTATATTTGTTGTTTGATATCCTTCCTCTTATCTGATGCTCTAAAAGTAACTTACGGGGCACGTGTCCTATATTCTGTTCCAAGCATACATAGGACAGATGATCAACGCCAGCAGATCCCCCACTAGAGAATCGAAGAATGTAAAATAGATATACAAACACTTTTAAATAAGACAATTATAATAATAGCTATCAATAGGTCATTATCAAATACACATAGCTTTTGTTACGTTTATCAAAAACGGCATTTTAACGTGTGCACCTTTTGACTTAATTATCGCACGCACAACAGTTGTGCGACTGTCGATTGTCAAAGCCAATTCAATTGTTTAGTTGCACAACTAAAAATCGAGTAATGAGCATATAAGCCCATAGGAATCAAAGCTAAAGTTATGGGATAGTTTAGTCACATGTGTACGTGAGTTCTAACTCTCCTTTGTTTCCATAGTAGTAAAAGTTTCGTTATCAAAATAAATACATCAAAGGCGTATGGAATTAATACATAAAGTATCTGGAAAATTTATTATCTAAATGTTCTCTCGTAATATTTTATTGAACCACATAAATCACTTATTGGACCAAGATAATGTTGATATATGTATTTTGCGATAACGTTTTTTTTCATAAATGATTTTCTAATACAATAAACTAATGAATGTTGTCAAATATACTAGCATTCGTCCGCGACTCCGTTCGTGTGGAGTTTGCTAAGTAGCCTATGTTTTTGGAAAACGTTTACCATACATGCTCAATAACCTACCACCCGAAATAGCAAATCTAAATTCAAAATTTAAACTATTTGTTAAACATTTGGAAAGCCATCTTTTTGATAATAGCCCTTGAACAGAATATTTTATTTTTATTTATATACAGTATATATAATATTTTATTTATATATGTATGTATTTTATGTAATTCTACACAAAAAAAAACCAGAGCACCCGCGGACAAACCAATTATATGGTTTTTGCGGGGCCATATTTGTGCATATTTTTTAATTTGTGTCATGTAATGTTTTTAATAAAAAAAAAAAAACTCTGCCAAATTCCATCGAGATCCATTCAACTGTTTACCGTAAGCATTGACAACTATTTATTCAAAAAAACCCTAGTTTTAAAACTATATTCTTACTGAATTTCTATTAGCAAGTTAACTTCAGACTACAGACAAGTAAATTAACTTGAAAGAGAAATCTATTAATATTGTATTTCTCGGAAACGTGAAGTTTCCAATAGAGCGAGGTCAACAATCAATTGACTGCTTGTGACATTGATATGTTTGTTGAGTATTGTGATATATTCTCATATACAATATTTATAAAATATTTTTTTCTATAACTAAAAGCTTTCTTGTACTTTGGCCGTGAATGACTAACACTATGATTAACAAATTAAACCAGAACAAGAAAAATTAAAACAGAACTAGCCAGTAACTCATCCACATCCGGAGGCCCATGTTTAGTTTTTTTCCTTTCCACCCCTTTTTAAGAGGAAGGGGTGGGAAGGAAAAGTGAATTTGACGGCGGAGGAGACGCATAGGAAGGATAAATATTAAAGGTAAGCAACGCATCTGCAATCGCGGATGTCTATGGGCAGCGGTCGCTTCGCCATTTCAGGGAATACAGTTGGCCGCTTGCTCGTTTGCTACCTTATAATGTAAAAAAAACGGTCTGTCCTCGGCGGTATTTCCAAACCAATACGACTTAGGGTTCTTCAAGAAGCGAGCCTACAATTTCCTCAAAGGCCGGCAACGCATCTGTAGTTCCTCTGGTGTTGCGGATGTCCATGGGCGTCGTTGATCACCTTTGTGTTCCCGCCGCTCGTTTGCCCCCTTCTCTTATAAAAAAAAAAAAAAAACGTCAAGCACCCTCTGTTCCTACAGGGGGTGGAGCAATGTGTACTACAACAAGGATAAATAAATAGTTTTATTACTGTAAAAGATGACCTGATCACACTATTTCAAAGATCTTATATTATTCAAACACATTAAGATTACATCAGCACACCGGTAACTATGATCAATTTAAAAAAAAAAGTCTAATTGAAATTTGAATTAGGAACACGATTTAATTAATAAAAGGGCGTTAATAATTTGGCTATAATAATTATTAATTCAAATTCATTATTCATCGGTCATTGAACAGGAACACGTAATCCCAACGGATCCCCAATGGACGGATTAATTGAAGCGTTTGACAGATTGCAAATTAAAATACGAGAAAATTTAGCTAACAAAATTACTATCGATTTTAATGAAAAGCAACCTGACAACATAGCAAAAAAAAAAAAAAATCCAGATTTCACGAAGATGATGTATTTAGGTTATATGAAACAAAAATCGCATTTGAAAATTATTTGTCTGTCTGTCTGCAAGCTGTGTTTGGCTCGGACAATCTCCTAAAAGACTGGGCCGATTTTGAAGGGACATTCACTAGAGGGTAGCTGACATGGACGGCGAAATTATAGGCTACTTTTCCACGCTGTCAAAATAGCGACCGGGCCACTATTTCTAGAAAGAGTGGACCGATTTTGACGGGACTTTGAATAGAAGGTAGATAGTAGAAGGTAGATACATGTGGGAATGTTATAGATGGCCATGTTTTATCCCGCTCTAACTTCGCGAGCGACAGCTCGTAACGAATAAAACAGATTGATGTCGACATTGATGATGACGCACATCACTAATATGTAGATATTAACATAATATTATGAAGCCTGTACTAACATCCTGTCTAACCAAGCTACCGTGACAAAAGTGCAATATCACTTTGTAATATTCTCGTTAAATCGCTCTCTCTTATCAACGTTGGGACTGACAGCGCGATAGCAAACTAAAAGGATCCCTAATCCGTGATGTGGGAGAAATCATTCGCTCGAAAACAAGTAATAGTAACTTCGAATAATGATAATAAAACATATTAACTAATAATCATTACTTATCCTAGAAAATATCTTGACAAATACAACAATAATATTTTAAAACGGCTCTAATTCTACATTAGGTGCGTTCTTCAATTCACATTTCTGCGTTCCTTACTTTTTTTTACTTGTCTTTTTTCTTTTACTCTTAGTATGTCATTCTTTATGGCCAGTATCTTAATGGCAAACTCCTTGACTACCAAAGAGGTTGATTACGTCAAAGTTCACTAAAGAGTATGAAATTATAAAGCAAGCGTATTTCCCGGCTTTTATCGCTTATGCGTCAATGTGTACGTCAGTTACCACTCGATTAATGTATTTTTAAATCCAGCACAATTATACCTAAGTTATTAGAAGATGACTAATCGATGTTTGTACAAATTTATGTTTAGAAACATATAGAAATGATGACAGATAATACAATTGTAGCTATTCTATAAAGTTAAGGGTCTGTCCGACCAAATTGTAAATTATCTGATAACCAACGTGTAAAATAGGTAATGGAAATATCGGACTTTGTTACCTTATCTGACAGTGTCATCATTTTTAAGCCATCTGAGCGTCTTTCGGCTAGTAGTGGGACAGGCCCTTAAGTACATATTACATTGGTATATAAGAATTTATAGTAAACATTACTAAACTAAAATTTCAATTATAAAAAATAATACATTCCGTCGCAGTTGAATTTATATTTCAGTGAAACTCTCCAAAGTACCATTCAAAATACGTATCGATGTCGAAATATATTCGTCAATGATCGTTAAAATAAGTGCTATCTGTACAAATTGAAATAATAAAGTAAATATTCATTTTAGAAGAACCGGAACATAGAAATATATCGGACCTTATTAGTTTTCGAAATTCAAATAATGAAGAAAAAAAGTTCTTATCATGGTTAAACAATCTATGTTAACTTTTAATAAATATTTATCGTACTACTGGCTTTCTTTAGCAACTCCGTTCGCGCGGAATTTAAAAAAAGTAAGTAGTCTATGTGTTCTTCCAGACTATGCTCTACATCTATACCAAATTTAATTGAGATCCGTTCAGCCGTTTAGGTTACAAATGTTATAAACAACCATCCATCTAAACTTTAATATTTATAATATTAGTAAGATTACAAGCATTATTTACATACCAGAATTTGGAAAAAATATCCATGGAATTATATCCGAGTAATTCCGGAAGATTCATAAAACTAACTGAACTAGAGTACACAAAATACATTTGTTTATATTACTCATAGCACAAGAAATGTGCAGACGAAGGCTTTGAAATGCGGTCGCATCAGGAAACTGTAGCGGATGTGAGGCAACTAGGTTACACTGAAGGACGTAGCGGTCTAAACGAGACTACAGTCATTAAAGGAGGTACAATGAAATCGAAGTAACGAAAATCACCTGAATTTTGTGCTAACAATTTTTAGAAAGCCTTATGTATTTTTTTAACATGGTTTTTTATTCATTTTCGTACATATATATAGGAAATTCTCGAGGGTACAGTATAGTATGCACAGTAGGGGAAACTAATTGACTTCGTGTAGTAGTAAACTATACTAATATTAGGAAAGTAGTAAATCCTAATAATGACGAAAGATTAAATTTTGTTTACATTGAATAGGAACCGCTAAGAACCGATTTCATAAATACTTTCATTAGAAGACTACATCATCACTGAGTATCATAAACTACTAGTTTTAGCTCGCGAGTCTGTCCGTCTGGAACAAGATAAAAGAAAGTATAACGTAAACGCACCTAATAACGACCCATCAAAATCCGCACCTATTACCGACCTATTTAGAAACCTATAATTTACTTGCGGTGTGTTAAAGTTGGTACCTTTTTATTTTATTTAATTTTTAATCATTTAAGTAATTCTTATTATAACTGTTTCTATATATGACTAAAAAGATCGATAAACTCACTATTCGCAAAAAAATTTTTCATTGGACATCAATCGAATATCATGTTTATTTTTTGGGCATCAATCTGAACAAACTTAAACTGGCAGTAATAG